GGTTCAACCACCACTCCGGCGCGATCGGCTGCAAGCTCAGCCTCGGGTACACTGCGGCGTAAGCGAGTGCCGCTGGCTACTGAAAGTACATGTACCCCTGGGTCTGACGATCATGACGATGGCAACAGCATCGCTACCAGCCCTGCTTCCTCAACATCCAAGCGAGCGGCATCGGACGTCACGTGCACAGCTGCTGCTTCTTCAACAGCGGTTCAAGCAGCGGAGTCGCCTCTTCCCGCAGCAAAACGAGCAGCATCGAGTGGCACGCGCACCGCTACCGTTGCCGCTACTGCTACCACTCTTTCTGAAGCCACGGCATCTGCTGCGGCTACGCCACCGAATCGGCACAACGTCGCGCCAATATTTCGGCCGAAATCGGGGACAGAAAAAAAATATCTGATGAACCACGCGGCGGCTGAAAAGTTTATTAGCGTTCTGAAGTTGATGGATGATTACTGCATGCGATGTACCATTCGACAGGCGAAACCCGTCCTGAAGGCCGGGCATCGATGCGTATGCAATCGTGTTTGTGAGCGGTGTCACTTCGGAGGACACGAGACAAGTGATTGTTCAGTGCACCTCGCATACCCCGACAGAGCCTGTTGCTACGCTTGTGGAATGCCAAGGAAGATTCGTGGATGGGATACATGGGATCACCGTTGCAGGCAGTCCCAGGGGCTGAATTCGGGCCTGAGCTGTATCCTCCTTTATTCGGACTGTCATCAGGGGCTGCGCGACCTGGCCCAGCGGATGGGCTACAACTTGAAGGAAATGACATTGAAGGATTTCGATACGCGCGACTTGTTTGTCAAGTGGCTGTACTCGTCCGGTCCTTGTCCATTTCCAGGGCGTGGGCATTGCCGTCTTGTGGAATTTGTGTTTGAAAGTGCGAGGATCCTGCTCCCCAGTGCGGCGGAAGCCCAAGTCGGCCCCGACAGTTTTCGCTAAACACACACAGGAAGCTCTTTAGAGAAGCAGCACAGAACCGAATGTCAGAATGTCATCATCTTTATTATCTTCAATAACTGCTAAATCGACTGCATCTTTTTACTTTGACTGGCTATGATTTGCTTCAATAAAATGAATCTTTGCTTCATTAACCTCTTGCCTCTATATCCTTCCCTTTGCTTTTGGCTTCATTTTTTTTTTTTTTCTCACTGACACACGATGAAGCGGGCCATGGGCGGGGCGCGCGGTGGTGCGTTGTCGTCGTTGTGGCGCGACGGGCAAGTGCTGCCGAGGTGCAAGCGACGTCATGGATGAACGGGTGGCCAAACGACATTGCCGCGTGACCGTCATGGATTTACCATTCTTGCTGATCTCGTGTTGGGCTGCCATTTGTTGTCAAGACAATTCCTCGATCTGACCCACGAAGAGCCGCAACCGCTCGTGCGCTGATGGACGCGCTAGCTAGGCCCAAGAGCCACGGAGCCTGGTCAGATCCGGCACGAAGCACTCCCGCTCAAATGCAGGTGAGAAACCGATCTTAGGCCCGCTTTTGAAGATGCTATCCATGTTGCCCGCTGCCAGAGTCAAGAGCAAGAGTGATTTTTGCGATTTTTGACGCGCGAATCGCCGGGCGTTTCTGACGGTAGTGCTGTGTCACAGGGTAGCCGCTGGTGGACGAGGACTCCATGTCGAACAGCGGAAGCGCGTGAAGAATGCGAGGTGAGATTTGTTTTGACGTGCGTCGAAAATTGTGACCAAGGGCCCGGCTGCCATTTGGTGTTGGTTGAGGAGCAGGGATGCGCCTTTTTTGTTTTTTTTTGCCCTTGAGGGGGGTACTAATGGTGGGGCTGGCGGGTCACAGGGCGGCGGACGGTGGATGGGGACTTAACAGTGAGCAGCGGAAGCGTGTGAAGAACGCGAGGTGAGCTTTGTTGTGACGTGCGCCGAAAATTGTGACCAGGGGTCCGGCTGCCATTTGGTGTTGGCCAAGGAGCCAAGGCGCGCCTTTGGTTTTTTTTTTGGCCGTTGAGCGGGGTGCTAATGGTGGGGCTGGCGGGTCACAAGGCGGCCAACGATGGATGAGGACTCCACAGTGAGCAGCGGAAGCGTGCGAAGAATGCGTGGTGAGCTTTGTTTTGACGTGCGCCGAAAGGTGTGACCAGGGGCCCGGCTGCCATTTGGTGTTGGCTGAGGAGCCAAGGCGCGCCTTTGTTTTTTTTTTGGCCTCCAGGGGGGTGCTAATGATGAGGCTGGCGTGTCACAGGGCGGCTGACGGTGGATGAGGACTCTACAGTGAGCAGCGGAAGCGTGTGAAGAATGCGAGGTGAGCTTTGTTGTGACGTGCGCCGAAAATTGTGACCAGGGTCCCGGCTGCCATTTGGTGTTGGATGAGGAGCCAAGGCGCGCCTTTGGTTTTTTTTTTGGCCGTTGAGGGGGGTGCTAATGGTGGGGCTGGCGGGTCACAAGGCGGCCAACGATGGATGAGGACTCCACAGTGAGCAGCGGAAGCGTGCGAAGAATGCGTGGTGAGCTTTGTTTTGACGTGCGCCGAAAGGTGTGACCAGGAGGCCGGCTGCCATTTGGTGTTGGCTGAGGAGCGCGCCGTTTTTTTTTTTTTGAGCCGATTTGAGGGGGGTACTAATGATGGGGCTGTCGGGTCACGGGGCGGCCAACGGTGGATGAGGACTCCATATTGAACAGCGGACGCGTGTGAAGAACGTGAGGTGAGCTTTGTTTTGATGTGCGCCGAAAATTGTGACCACAGGCCCGGCTGCCATTTGGTGTTGAGGCGCGCCTTTTTTTTCTCTTCTTGGTTTGAACCACTTTGAGGGGGGTACTAATGGTGGGGCTGGCGGGTCACAGGGCGGCTGCCGGTGGATGAGGACTCCACAGTGAGCAGCGGACGCGTGTGAAGAATGCGAGGTGAGCTTTGTTTTGACGTGCGCCGAAAACCTTGACCAAGAGGCCGGCTGCCATCTGGTGTTGGATGAGGAGTCAAGGCGCGCCTTTGGTTTTTTTTTGGCTTTGAGGGGGGTACTAATGATGGGGCTGGCAGGTCACAGGGCGGCCAACGGTGGATGAGGACTCCATATTGAGCAGCGGAAGCATGTGAAGAATGCGAGGTGACCTTTGTTGTGACGTGGGCTGAAAATTGTGACCAGGGGCCCGGCTGCCATTTGGTGTTGGCCAAGGAGCCCAGACGCGCCTTTTGCTTTGTTTGAGCCGCTTCGAAGGGGGTACTGCCTGGTCGGGCTGGCGGGTCAATGGATGGTTGCAGACGGATCAGGACAGCCTAGTGAGCACTGAAAGCGTGTGAAGAATGCGTGGTGAGCTTTGTTTTGATTTGCGCCAAAAATTGCGACCGAGGGCCCGCCTGCCATTTGCTCTTCGTGAATGGCCCGTCGCTCGCATTTGTTAAATTTTGGCTTTTTTTTTTTTTTTTTTGGTGGCCATTAATTAGTCAACGTTTGAGCTTTTGGTGCGCTGTGCCGTTGATACTCAATCGAAACTTTCAGGATGTTTATTGTCATGTGGGTTTGGCGCAACCGCTAACAGCGACACGATCGGAGGCTAACCGCTAATGCGTTGGTGAAAGGATCGTTGAAAGACATCAATATATAATATCAAGGCGAAGAAGCAAAGGTTTGAAACGCGTGCAAGGATACAAGTTGAGAGAAAGAAAAGCAGGTGGCGTGAGGACGGTACAGGATCATTGGGCGTGAAGTAGGAATTGAGCAACAAAGCGGCGGAAAGGAAGATGAAGATGCGGCAGTCAGGTAAAAATTAGGAAGTATGCAAAGCAGAGGAATTTGAGAGAGCAGGACGGGGAGGCAGCGTTTGGCAAAATGTGTGATTGAAAGAGCAGCAAGAGTAGAGGGAAAGACGATCGATTTGGAAAGTCGACTTTCAGGAGAAGAGAGATTTGGAGAGGGGAAGCGCAACAGGTGGCGGGTGGGACGAGCGGGAAGGTAAAAAATTAAAAAAAAATAAAATAAAAAATAAAAAAAAAGGTGCGAGATGGGGCAAGAGAGGAGATGGATAGGAAAGGTCAACGGAAGATATTGAACGAAGGAGAAGGATTGAAAGAGATGGGAGCGAGCGAGTGGCGAACAGCATGAGCAGTGGGACAAGCAGACGGCGAAGCGAGGAAACAAAACAAAAAGCATGGGTGAAAATGAAAGGGCATTGATCGGATGAAAGAGGAAGAGACGAAAAGGGGGCACGGAGGAAAGGAGGAAGAAGTGAAGGAGCGGAGAAGGGGTCAGGAGATGGTGAAAGGGATAATTAACATCATGAGAATAAAATAGGAAAAGGAATGGGAAGAGGAATGTAGTAGGTATGGAAAAGGAATTGAAAGTTGTTGAGTGGGAGTATTGAGAAAAAAAGGAGGATGGAAAAGGGCTTGGGGCAATTACCCTCGGGAGGAAATGTCATGTACTTTGACATATTCGATCCCCTGTATTCTGTAGAATACCTTTTTGAATTGCTTTTGCCCAAATTTACGTTCTGACTTGATTCATAAAAGGTATTCTTTGTCATGATGGGGCTCGAAATATTTGTATATCTTTGTTGCTATTCTGAATAAGTTCAGGCCATTTTTGAGGGCTTCAATAATTCAAATCTCAACATGAGATAAAGGGGTTGAAAGTATATTACTTCTGGTTGACAATTTCATTTTTTTTTTCCAATTTTGTTCATCTCTTTCGCGCATCAAAGCCAGCTGCCAAAGGGATACCTTGCCAACCCTGAGCAGATCTGACCATGCCAAGAGACCGCCATGCCATGGCCTGCGATGGTCAACAACGACGACGTGCAGCAACTATCGACACCTTCTTTCCCATTCAAGGTGGGCTCCGCGTGTGATGTGGCCCACTTTCTAGCCAGCCTCATTAGGCGCACGCTCTGATTGCGGCTTCCAATAGGGACCCGATCTGTTGCCACAGCTTCAACGACCGTGGCAGATGAAGTTGCCGACGTTGCCGCCAGTGCCCAACCGCCCGTGACCGCAGAAAGAGCCCCATCGCCTTCGGCTGCGAGCACGCAGGCGCCATCATCGCTCCTTCCATGCCCTTCGACCTCCACCAGGTGTTCCCCTGCCGATCAATTTAGGGTGAGTCGATTGTCGAGCCCTTTTTTGTTGGTTT